GTGCAGGAATTTGGGGGGTTTGGGGGGGGGGGGGCACCGGGCTGCCCAGCGCTGAGCCGGGGGCCGGTGTGTGTGTGTGTGACGGGGGGAGGGGGGCGGCGGCTCCGGCCTTCCAAAGCCTCGAAAACGGCGTTTTTTTTTGCCCCAAAGCAGGTGTGCGGGGCTCGGGCGGTGCCGTGCCCCCTCCTGTGTTCCCCCCGGGCGTTGCCGGGGGTGCGGCGTGGGGGGGGGGTTGGGGGGGGGAACTGTCCGCCCCGTTACGTGGGCACCGCGGGGAAACCGAGTCCCAACCCCCCCCCCCACCCCCCTCGGCTGCGCCCGTGGTTTCGGGACGCGAACAATGCGCGTGGCTTCGCTCCCTCAATGGGGAGCGGCGAAGGAGCCTGAAAAGATCTTCCAGCGCTCGGCGCGGTCACTAATGAGCCGTCGATGTTTTGGGACTGATTGTATCGGGATGTTTTTGGTAGCCCTCTCGCTGGGCTTTATCTTGTAAATCGCGGACTGTTTGTTTATCTTCCCCCTTCTCCGCTTTGAGGGAAGAAATAATCTGGTTTTTATCTCGGTTCCCCCCCCCCCTCCCCGCCTTCCATATTTCTCAAAAGAGAAAATCCGTCGCGTTCTCGAGGTTTGCAGGGATCTGAGCCCACCTGGAGCCCTTCCCGGTCGGACATTCGCTTCTACCCGAACGTTTGTGTTGTGTCCCGAAGGGGCTGCGGGGAGCGCCGTGCAAAGTCTTGAATTCTAATTCAGCGTGTTGGAAAAGCTGGGGGAGGTCTCTGGAGACTGTAGGAACTCCAATAAGTTAATTCTCTTATTTGTTTTGTTTTTTTCCCTCCCCTTCCTTTTGAAGATCCGTCTGTTAGCTCGGAGCAGAAAGGGGAACTTTTTCCCCTTAGGAACTGATCTTTGGTGTTTCTAAGTCTGCTCAGTCAGCATGGAAGGGTGGGAGGGTGAGGAAAAAGCAAATTGGTTCCAGAAACCGCCACCACCTGATATGAAAAAGGGGCTCCGTTGGAGTTGGGGGGGGTTGCGGGGCAGGGCGGGGCGGTGCGGGTGGGCCGGGGGGGTTCAGCGCTCCGTGCGGGGCTTTTGGCGATGCCCGCAGCCGGGGCCGAGCCCGGGCCGCGCCGAGCCGTGCGGTGGAGCTCGGGGCCGCGCAGCTGAGCTGCGGGATGGAGGGAACCTGGAGAGAGCGGTGCGGGTCCCGCAGCTGCGGGGCTGAGCGCCGGGCGGTGCCGCACACGCGAAGGGCCGCCGTGCCGCGGCTGCACGCTGCCGTCTGTGGGTTTGTGTCCATCGCTGTGCGCGTCCCCAGCCCTGCGGGCGGGGATCCATCCCGCTGTTCTCGGGGCCGGCTGCGTCCCTTCCCTGTGCGTGTGGGTTTGGGGGCACGGCTCACTGCTGTCACAGCCGTGCCGTGCGGTGATGCTGCAGGAGGAGGTGCTGGAAAGGCAGCGCCGAGCCCGGAGTGGTGTGGGCTCACACTGCGTGGCTTCCCACCCCGCCAACCCTCCACCTTCTCTTTCGCTTCTTTTCTTCTTCTTCCCTTTTTTTTAATGCCTTTCTGCTCCACCTCAGCTGGTGTGGAGTTGGGCACAGTCCCTCACGGCCGCTCCTGCCAGCCTGGTGAACGGCACGTTTCCAAGGAAGGCCTCGTGCAGTGAAAAGCCCCAAAGTGCCCCAATCCTGCGCTCCTCGGCTCCGCTGCCATCCCTGGGGTCACCAAACCACGTGGGTGCTGGGCTCCCATTTCCGATCCCAGGGCTCCTTTGGCTCTGAATGCAGCACAGTGAGCTCTCGTGTTTATTTCTAGAGGAAAGAAAGCAGAAACCTTAAAGAAATAACACAATGAAGTGGAACTTTCCAGCAGATAGGAGCAAAGCGTGCCGTGCGTCGGACCCTTGGCTTTGGTGTGGCTCTGTGACTGATGGAAATATCTCCTGCCCTCTGTTATTGCTGGGCGGCCCACGGTGTGCATGGGCACGGTGCACGGGTGGCTCTCATCTGAGAAACATTGTCATCAGAGGGGCGTTGATAACATGGCTGATACCAGGATGATTTCCTCACCTTCCTACACGGGTTGGGACCAGCTCAGTCCTCAGCTGGGGAAGCTCCCGGTGCGAGCTCTGAGCTCCAGACTTGTTGCTATAATTGCACCGTGAAGAATTCCGTGTCCTTAAAGGAAGGAAAAAGGCAGGCGTGCAGTGGCTGTGCTGGGTTGAAGGGCTGCCGTTTGGCCACGCTGTGCTTGGGGCGAGTTTGGGCTCCACGTGGTGCCTCTCATGGATGTGAGCAGAGCCCCTTTAAGGGGTCTTGGCGAACCGATCTGGTTTTAATTTTATCCCGTCGTGTCTGACGGGGCTCTGTGCAAAGCGTTCCCTGCGTTTATGGGAGGGGGAGCTGGACTGTGGTTCCAGGGATGGAATCGGCCCTTTCGCTGCTTAGCAGTCGGTGTTTGGGGTTTGCTGCTATTGTTAAGCAGCCCGGAATGGCACGAGGAATTCTGGCGAAATGTGCTCTGCGATCCCTCGGCTGTAATTCAGGAGAAATATTGACCCTGGTGGGCTCCTGCGCCAAGCGTTAAAAGGAAGCGTTCCTAATAAAATATGGGTTGGAAAATTCATTTCGGCCTGGAATTCGGCTCTCCAGAAAGCATTTTAATAAGGAGGTGGGGGAAATGGGACACATCATCCGCACAGCTTTTAGGGATCTCTCGTTCCCGTGCAGCTTTTCTCTCTCCCTTCTATAAATCCTCCCCGATTTTGCTCTCGCTGTGGCTCTGCAGGGCCGTGAGCAACTTGCTAAAAACAAAACTGAGAGAAAGAAGTGGGGTGGGGAGGGAAGGACAGGCAGAGCGACCAGGCGCAGCCCGGCGTCTGATCCTTGGTGGTATTTTTGTTCTGGCTTTAAAGGCTCGGTGGTGCCCTGTGGAGTTCTGTGAGCGTGGTGCCGGGGGCCCGGCGTTGTGCCTTTGTTTCTGTTTCTGCTTACTGAGGGCGCTCAGGATGCTGTGCCATCGGGTCTTCATCCACGTAGCCACATCCTGAGCTCATGGCCGTGCCTGGGGGCTTTGCCTGGCCTCCTGAGGCTGCTTTGGGTGAGGTGAGACCCAGCAGACCGAGCCCAGCCCTAAGTTTCCCCTCAGAGCCTCTTGCAGTGGTTGGGGTGTTGGGATGGCTGAGTGCTTTGGGAGCAGGTCTGCTCCCTGCCTGCACTGTGCTGGGGGGACCTGGGGCTCTGTGCGTGTCTCCTGGGAATGACTTCATTAACTTCCATAAAGAAAAACAACAGCCAGTGAGCGCCGAGCTGCGGCTCTTGCAGTAGCTGGGTAAATACCATGGATTCTATAAAATGGATTTAACTGCTTCCTTTAAAAGAGGGGGAACCCGGGGCCCAAAAAAAAAAAAACAACACAAAAAGTGCTGTGATGGGGTGGCTGACTGGTTGTAAAAGTGCTGGAGCTTTCTCCAGAGCAAAACGGCTGCCGGGGTCCTTGGGGCTGTGTTGGGACAGCACTGTTTGTGGGATGGTTTGTGGGGCTTTGCTGGCGGTGGGCTGTCCTGTGTGTGAGCACCCAGTGTGTGTGTGTGTGCAGCAGTGCGCTGTGCGTCGTGGCAGGGCTCCTCCCAGGGCATGCAGGTTGTGCTGGAGCTGCGCAGCCCTCTGTGTGGCACACGGCGAGGTGTCCCTGTGCTGCTGTTCCCTTCCCCATGCAGGTTCCTGCCACGCACCCTGCCTGTCCCCTGCGCTCGGCAGCCAAAGAACGCTGAGCCCGGTGGGAAAACATCTTGTAGCGATCAGTAGCACATGCTACTTGGAGTCTGGCAGCCGAAACAGGGTGGGGAGAAACAAAGCTGAAATCCATTCTGTGTCTAATTAATGATGGCTTGTATCGGGAGCGCAGGAGGACCGCGGGCCCGGCGCTATCGCGGCGTCACATCTGGGCAGGAATGCAGTGCTGGCGTGGGGCTTTGTTGTGTTCTCGGCTGCGGAGAGCAGGGTCCGTGCTGCTGCCTTCTGCTGAGGTTTTCTTTTCCATTTCCCTTCCCATTCCCTGCTTTGCCGGAGGAGGGAACGACTTCCATCCAGCATCCCGGAAAGCGTTCTGTTCTGCCAAACCTGGGCAGCACCCGAGCATCCCTCGGGGAGGCTCCTCGTGCTGTGTGTGCGCTGCCTACAGGTTGGCACCGGTGCCAGGACAGTGGTGCTGGGCTCAGGGCAGTGCTGTGCGTGGTACCAGGGCAGCACAATGCCAGCAGCTGCTGGTGCCCAGTTCCAGCACCCCGCTGATGGGCCTTACTGTGCGGGATAAGTCCGGGCTGACGCTGCTGTG